CGGGGCTGGGAACGCCCTGCGCGCGCGGCGCTGCGCGGCTGCCCAGAGGACTGCACACGCAGCGCGGGGCGCAGACATTGCTGCCAGCTCACTATTTATTCAGTGTTTGTCAATATTAACTCCTCGCTGATAATGGTGATGACAGCAGGGGTGTAATTACCAGGCAAAATTTAGCACCTTCTGCCTCTGAACAATCCAGTGAGGCCAAAAGGCAACTTAGCTGCGTTGGCAGCACGTAGGGTTTAGGCGAGCGGAGCCTTTGCCATGCGGGACTCTGGCTCCACCTGAGCTCTCTATTTGTCTACATGGTTGAAGTCCCGTTACAGGTAGAGCAGACGTAAAATATTAGGGAAAAGGAAACCGAATCCTTGCTGCAGTGCAAGTCTGGGAAAGATCAACATTTCCCACTGGGCTAGGGAGGAACCCGGCCCTTGGGAGCGCAGGGTGTGTGGTTCCAGCTCACACCCAGCACTCATTAATCTTGCTGCCGCGCGGCCGCTCTGGGCCTGCCCACTACAATAGGTATTGCTCTTTTGCATTTTCGGTTTGCCCCGTGGTTATAGCATTCAACTTTTGGCCTCTGAAGGACAAATTCCTGCTGCTGTGCCCTTGGCGCTGCTTTGAGGTGCAGCTTCCTCTTGTGAAATCAGCGGGTGCTGAAAATGTCCCATTGCCTTTGATGCCTGGGAAGGGCTTTGCTGGACGTGTGGAGCTCCCCAAATCCCTCCTGGCCTGGCGCGAGCGCTGCGACGCTCCTGTGCTGCAGCAGCACGATGGTGCCTGAGGTGCTGGGTGCCGCTGGATCACCAGCTCCTGCCAGGGAATGTGGCAAAGCCAGACAGGGCACCCCAAAGCCAGCAGAAGGACACACAGCAGAATGCAGTTAGGTGGCAGGAAACCCCAATTTTAACTTTTTAACTACTAGTGCCCACCCTGATAATCAGATCCTTTGATGTACGATAAAAACAAAACAAAACAAAACTCCGTAGCCTGACAACTGCTGCTCCGTATCCCGTATCTGCATCCTGCTCATCGTGGATAGAAGATGCAGTTGTTCCTGCTGCGGCTCCAGAAGCGGCTGTCGGGAGAAGGCCCTCGGGAGCAGAGGGAGCAGCTGGACGGGGCTCGCCTGCCTCTCCACCCTGCCGCGTGAACACCAGGCGCTGATTAACAGGAAAGGCGCCGCGCCGCGGAGTCGACACTCAAGTGTTCGTGTTTGCCTTCCAGGTACGCATGACACCTCACCGACCATAGCCTGCTCCTTATCTTGGCTGTACTGTTTGCGCCCTGAGAAAACAAAGGTATTGTTATAACACATGAATTATTGAGTCGCTCTACAGACCCCCTCTGCACTTCAAGTCCACGTGGTTACAGTGTAAGAGCTGCCAAAACTGCAGCTATCTCGACGGGTGCCGGCAGCACGCTGAGCGCTTTGCCGACGCACGTTTTGCTCAGAGGGGGTGAACTCGCTGCACCAGCTTCAGGAAAACGATCTAATCTGAGCACTAATGATAATTTTCATCACATCAGGACTTGGTTTCAAAGGTCCTGAGCTCCCACGGGATATCCAGGGATTCAGCATGTCTGGAAGTGAGGCTCCTAACTGCCTAATGCAACAATTTCTCCATGGGTTTGATATTTCAATATAAGGCGATGGGCACTAAAAACTAATGAGCGGATTCTGGAGGAAAAGAGCTCTGTCAAACAGGGATAATACTTAACTGCTTCACAGGGGGCACAAGGATTAATGAGCTAATGTTTGCAAAGTGCTTTGAAGATGAAAAGTGCTAAGTCTTATTACATCTGGTGGATGAAGTAAATGAGCATAAAGAACAGATCTCAACTCCACCATGTAGGTACCAGAAAAAAACTAATGCATTAGGCTCCGAGTGCCCGCTCACTCGCCATTTCTTTTGCTCCAGGTTATTTATTCCTTTGCGCTAATTTGCTTTTCTTTCTGCACACCTAGGAGACGCTGCTGGGTGAAAGTCCTGCAGAAGGTGCCAGCCAGACCCTCAATTCCCAGCGCARCTTGGGCTGCAGCTTCTCACCCCTCGCATGGAGCGCGGCTTGTGCGCTGGCGGCCACCTCGGCCCCGTGTTGCTGGACCGTAATTGCAGGTAATGCTGTCAGCAGGGCCAGGGAGCCCCGGCCGGGCGGGCGGCAGGTCAGAGCGTCCCGCCGGGTGGGACCCGGCCCCTCGGCCCTCAGTCTGGTGGCTCTGTGTTAGTGCTGAACGCGCAGTGCCTGCCGTCCGCGATGSCGGTTCCAGCGGGCTCCTCCGAGTCGCCCTGCATGGATGAGCGTGGTTCTTTCAGGACCCTAGAGGGGACCTTGGCCACCAAGCGGGACGTTGCTCCATTCGTGCCCTTTCTCTGTCGGAACCGCCTGCGGGAAACCTGCCACGTGCGGCTGGTCCACCCGCGGCCGGGGCCTCCCCGGGGCCGCGCTCGGCACCGACCCCCAGAGGCGGCCGCGGGCGGCGGCGCCGCCTGCCGGGGCGCGGGAGGCCGCGGGGCGCCCCCGCCTCAGCCCTTGGGCAACGTGCGGCACTTTGGGGAAAAAACAGGCGGAAAAAACAGCCCTAAACCCCCTTCGCGGCCGCTCATCCGCGCGCCTGGTGCGGACAAGCGCGGCCCCCGAGCCGTCCCGCCCGCCCACGGCCCTCAAAGGGCCGTTAACGGTCGCGCGCCGCCGTTAACGGTCGCGCGCCGCCGTTAACGGTCGCGCGCCGCCGTTAACGGTCGCGCGCCGCCGTTAACGGTCGCGCGCCGCCGTTAACGGCCCCGGCCCAGAGCGCATGCGCGGCGCCGCCGCTAGGGGCCGCTCCCGAGCGCGC